TATTGTGATTAAAAACAAGAAAAACTAAACGCTTCGGTTGTTCAAGAAATATTTAAAATTAATTTTTACCGTGACAGCTAAAATTATTATTTTTAAATTTCCAATTCACTCAAAACCTTTGTTTTAATAAATGAATTTTAAATAAATGTTTAATTTTAAAGTCAAGTACTTTTCCGCAAAAGGATTAAATATTAATCGTAACCAACTCGTATTGGAATAAGAGTAGGAAATATATCTAGAAATTTGAACTTCTGCCTTTGTGCCTTTACTGAAGGTGTCCATTCCGAGATTGTCATTTCATATCGATACCAAAACGGCTGTATTATTTGGCTTACAAATGGCGATTATTTATTAATCTAAAGCACGATACCGCCCACCGTGCTGTGAAACTGTTTGTGTTGGGAATGGTACAACAAAAATATGGTCCAGTGCTTGAAGTTGATCACACTGTTGTTCCCATTCACACGAAGCTACAGGGGGAGATACCCGCGTCTGTCCCGAGCCCCCCAGGGGAGTCGTTTACCACGTGACTCTATCGCGAACCACCATTGATGTCACGTGATGGTCAGATAATGTATCCGAGCGAGGCTCAGAGGTATCAAAACGAGGCTTTGCGGTATCGTACTGAAAGCAAATACAATGGCGAGGTTTGGCCTGGGGGGTGGGGGTGGTAGAGGGTGAATAACGTCGCTTTTGTAATCAGATTTACCGATTCGTACACACACATACACACACACACACTCACTCGAACACATCCACTCAACACAAATACACATACTCGAGCGTATATTTACTCATAACCAAAATGTCACTTTAGCAGAGGCCCTGTCGCAAAACTATTCTCGATGTCAGTGATGGGGTGTCATTTGACAACCCCCGGGTGTCATAGAACTGCCTAGTTGTCATAGCACTGTCTAGTTGCCATAGAAACAGAACCAAACACCTAGTGTCCAGTTCACAGATAGGGGACATAGAACCTACATCGGCTGACACTACAACGCCTAAGGTTTCATACGAATGTTTTTCTGTGATTAAATAAACGTTGAACGTTATCAAAATGACTTGACAGTTATAAATATGACTTGACCATTATAAAAAATGACTTTAATCAAATTGACTTGTTTTGTTTAACATTTCCTAGACTTTTACAGAAATATATATTTGACTTGTGTACAAATGTCTAGACTGTAATAAAATGACTTGGCCGTTATAATAATGACTTGATTTTTATGATAATAATAAAAACGACTTTCGAATAAAAATGCCTAAACTTGATTAAAATAATGCCTTGACTTTTAAAAAAATGCATTTGAGTCGTATACACATAATATGAGCAATGATATTTAATCTCACTTTTTCGAGTAAGAAAATAAACCCCCCACAAAATGGCTAAGCTGATTACGAAGATATAAACGAATCGTTAATAATGTGCTACAGATCGGTGAAAGATAGGAGGGGGTCAGGCTGCCCGCCCGTCCATTTTAGACCCCCACGGGGGTCAAGGGGAACTAATCTCACTCGGACTCGGACACTTGATTCAATTCATTTCATTATTATCTTGACCTCTTAACCCCAAATCTTCCCAGTGGTTACCTCCCCCTACTAATAACCTAAGTCTCATCTGGTGGTTCTTGAGAAACTGGAATAATTTCCCCTTTCTACCCCCCTATTTACCCCAACTCCCCTCCCCCACACTCCCCTCATCTGATACCCTCCACGCCTTCAACACCAAGAAATCAATAGACTGCCGATGGGAATTATTATAACTCGTCCTTCAGATTCCCTCGAGAGAAGGGAGACAACCCTGAAGATGTTCATGAACAAAATGTCCAAGGTACTCAACAATGTTCACTTTCACTGTTCTTTAAAATACCACTTTACTCAGAAGAAAAAAAGTTTTTGTTTGATGTTGTCTTTTTGTCTTTCTTTTAAGTAATGTTGAATACCGCAAAAATAGTTCTCAACACTTCGACATTCATTTCAGTGGTAAAATAAAACATCCGTGTTTGTTCAGAGATGACTGAGATTGGCCTTGTAGAGATGTTCTCTTCCTAAAATTAAAACATATCACGCAAGAACAAAAGAAGCTTCAGAGTACTTTAAGAATGATGCGGTATTCGTGACGTCATTTCCGGAACACTAGACGCTGGACACAAATACCCGACGACAGTAAAAGATCGGTAGTTGCTGCCCTTGTATTTTATACAGTTTTATACAACCCTTTTACAGTTGTCTTCACACCATCGGGTATATTGATGAACTAGAAAAGTGATTTTAATTTGTAGCTGAAGTGATTGTCTACGGGCCCTATAGAACCTACGTGAATTCTTACAGTGTATAATTTCGAACGGTACTTTGGTACAGTAAGTCAACCCTGGAAATAAACATAACCCAAAGCCTAAACAAATACGTTAATGACATACTCAGTTTAAACCATGGCAATACTTTTCGGTTAGGATTAACCTATCGAAGAGCTGCTTCTTCTAATCATATTTGTAATTAATTATCCAAACTTCAGTCCCAACGTAAACCTAACCCTAAACCCATCTCCACTGCAACAGAAACATTCCCATTCGGAAAAATGGGAAATAATTTTTACACGTATATTCAACCAGTGAAAAGTGATCATAAAACGTACTCTAGATATATGGTGAATTTATTGTAGTAAGAATATAATCAGTTCCGTTTTTTAACTTTGATATTAAGTTCCTTAAGATAATGGCGGAAAAGGCAATGATTAAAAATTGTCTATCTAACGAGTACTTCTCTTGTGGGCTTTGTACTTGTTTATCTTAATCAATGTTGATTAATTTTAAATTTGCGAGGGAAAATTTTCCTATAATTTCCTGGAAAAATGACCACCATGGCTATTTTTACCTAGAAGAATCGGCCGAAAATAAATTAAACGAGAAAAAAAAAGACGAATTTCACTTGGTCCATACTTCAACCGGGGGAACTGGAGTTGTCGGTACTGAAATCATGACGGATTGGTTTCCCTTGAAACTCGGCTAGACTGCCGTCTGCTGGGATAGCCTTGTGACACGCGAGCCGTCATAGCGAGTGTAAAGTGTCATCAGTGATGTTGTTGTGTTGGTACTGGTGATGGTGTGCTGGTCATCGGCGAATCTGGTTGACCCTTCAAGGTCTCGTTGGCCGATTTGTGTCGCGCCTAGCGAGGCTTGATCGCCGTGTTATGACTGTATGCAAGATTTAGGGGCTTTTTTATGACTGTATGCAAGATTTAGGGCTTTTTTATGACTGTATGCAAGATTTAGGGGCTTTTTTATTACTGTATGCAAGATTTAGGGGCTTTTTTATTACTGTATGCAAGATTTAGGGGCTTTTTTATGACTGCGTGCAAGATTTAGGCGCCGTTTTATGACTGTATTCAAGATTTAGAGGCTTTTTTATGACTTGGTGCAAGATTTAGGCGCCGTTTTATGATTGCTGTTTGCAAGACTAAACTACCAATAGTACAATCGCCATTTTATGAAAACCGTAATGGAGTCGCCTTTCAACTTTCTAAACCTCACCAAATTTATTGGCCATTTTAACGCTGCATCGAAACGTTGCTAAAATAATTGGGAATATTTTATCCAAAACAACCGCATAATAGCCTATATTTTAATTTTTTGAAATATATTCATAAACCCCTAAGTGGTATTAAAATATAAGTGAAAATATAAGTGATTTAAAATTTAATATTGAGGTAGACAGCCCATCCGCAGTGTATTGCCTCTCCCCCACCCCTCCCCCTCCCCCCCCCACTCAACCCAACCCTTCGATCTGCATTTTAATTAGATAATAAATTAATTTAATCGATGATTAAAAAAAAAACTAAAAAAAAAAACTCTAGACAACTTTAGTTTTATGTGTGTTAAAAAATGTATATTCGCCGTTGTAATCGATACCCCGATCCCCGCGTGATCGATCGAGTGCGTGGTGTTGTTGTTTCAATGATCGATTTCGCCGGGTGGTTAATTTGGTCCTGATAGGGGAGACAAACAAAACATCGCTTGGGTACACACCGACTCGGGGGAGAAAGCTACTAGAGTGATTATCGCCCTTGTTTGTTAAGTAGTACCTGTCGTGGTTGATCGGACTGGACTTTCAACGCTACTAGAACATTCCCGTGTCAGACTTTGTCGTTTGTTGAGGTGAGACAAATGTTTCTAGTAGGGTAGATACAGTAGAGTTCATCTATTTCCTTTCCCTCAGATTTTGACTCGTTGAGGGAGTAGTTATATGACCAGTCTCGTCTGGTTTACTTTACTCATGCTAGGTACTCATTACAGCTGGATGGTGCCTCAACTTTACTTTACTCATGCAAGGTACTTATTAGAGCTGGATGGTGACTCTACTTTACTTTACTCATGCAAGGTACTTATCAGAGCTGGATAGTGACTCAAATTTACTTTACTCATGAAGGTACTCATCAGAGATCATCGTGCTTGTCATTGTGTGATTGCTCTACTACTCGGCCACGCCGTCCCTACTCTGTTGTAATGTCGACCCGATTTGTAACTAAGAACACTGGTCTAAGACATCAACCAGAAGAATCATCGCCCACTGTCAATAGCCCAGTCCCAATGGAAATACCTATTATACGGTAAGGTAAGAAAGTCGGAATTTTAATGGACTGACGCATTATAACTAAGCTAATAAGCATTTTCCATTCGAACTAAACTTAGTCTATGTCTTACCCTATCTTCAACAATGTTCCCATCATTAACTACATACGTAATCCTAACCCTAATCCATTCCACACGAGTGATTATAGTATTCCTTTGCAGCTTTTTTTTGCAGGGTGTAAAATACGTTTGTTAATTGGTAAGAAAGGTATTCATCTTGGACGAGGGTAATGAGGGGAGGGGGGGTGACGACCAGGAGTAATTGACTTAAACGATAATTCGTTTCATCTTTTCAAGGATACTATTGGGGAAGGGATAATCTGGGGGTAATTGACAGGGGGGTAATGTCCTGCTCCCCTAAGATAATACCTGTGACAGACGACCTGCTCTGACTGCCGTCCTCGCTGGGCCCCCGCCCACTGTCCGCCCCCGTCGTTTCGCGAGATGAACTGCTTAAAATCTCGTCCGTCATCTTCTCCTTGGGACTCGATCGCCAGACCTGAATACAGAAAGACAGCGGGATACACACATCGAAGAGCGCTATCAGTGTCGGAGACTTAACTGCACCAAGGCGCTAATCATAGACATTGTCAATGATCTAACTCCATAGCTTTATCTAATATTTCCCAACAGGTATTCAATATGAGGACACAATATTTAAGGATACTTATATTAAAACTACCGGAAATGCTGGACTAGTACAGGAATTTGTATTCTCGTTAACCGTTATGTACAGTGTATTTTTTCTCTTTATCTCAAGTTAATCTTTCAATTAAAAAATGCATATATAATATATATTTAATATATTTCATTTCGCTATAAACCCTCAGTATTTGCTTTACAATTTTTATTTAGTCTGTATATTACTTCTACAGTATAAAGCATTATCGCCACAAGTGTACCATGGTGTACTCTGGTGTACAATGTAACTTCCAGAACCTTACTAAAATTTAATTAGTTCAACTCTAAGTACGTGAGGTATGATATAGGGACGGCGTGGTTCAATGGTAGAGTTTATGACTGCTAACCAAAAATGTTTTGAGTTCGAATCCCGGGCTCGAGTCCCTGAGTCCACCCAGCTCTGATGGGTACCTGACTAACGTTAGGGAAACAAAGGCATAGTAGTGACAAAACTAACTCCAACGAAGCCGAGGTCATTGAAACAGATGAACTCTACTTCATTTGCCCCATTGTCTTGGAAAAAATATGATGATGACGTACAATATATATATTTTCCAGTTAACTACCAGGTACTTATATATAACCACCATCAACCACCCCGCCTCTGAGGAAAAAAATACCTATTGATCATGGAGACAGTCTACGTCATTGATGACGTCTTTTGTCATGTCTTCCATCCCTCAATACTACACTTAGACAAACGTCATCTTCTCTCCTCTGAGAAAACTGTCCCCTTCTTCAAATCTCAACACACGTCCTTATCCCCCTCCCCACACCCATACCTCTCTCTCACACACACGCACCCCCACACCCATACCTCTTACACCCCCACACCCACTCCCACCCTCCCACACTAGAGAGATGTCCCGTACCTTCTCCTTCGAGTCTGGACAAGCGCCATATCCTGCCACCTGCATCATACCAGACTTGGATTGAAAGGTCCCCAGCCTCGACATCCCCGCCCCGCAGTCCACGTCACTGATGACGCTGTTCCGGTTTGACGCCGAGTCATCACATGTCAACGTGTCGCCAAGATGTTCCTGATTAATATAAAAAAAAATTAATTAATTATCTGAAGCATCATGATTATGTCATCGCCTAAAGTTCTTAATTCATTCAATATTAAACTGAAAACCACAGACTTCTGAAAAGTAAATACAAGTTACTTGTAAAAGTATGTACTGTTGAATGTTAAATTCAATCAATTAAACTTTGAATCCAAATTTCAATGTAAAATAAATGTTTAAACACATTTTCCTTATCTTTTGATTCTTTATTGAATAGTTCAGTTAACTAATCTGGTACTGATTGTTATACTAATTAGTTTTATTATGCTGATGTTGGTAGCTGTTCTATTGTAAAATTAAAATGCACTGTTACGTTTTATGAATTATTTTGAACACATCTCCGTGGCCTCTCATTTATTGACACGTGATTAACCTTCATGTCAATAACTGTCACGTGGTCGACTAACACGTAATTGACTGCCACGAAACGAAAACTACGAGTTCGCAATGTAGTTCACACACTAGTGTTAATTAGTTCGTTTAAATAAACATCAACTTTTACAAATCTGATGAATATATTATTATTTGTGTCCATATCAAATGTGGACGAAGATGGGGAGGTGAATGGGGGATGGGGGGGGGGGGTAACCAGGAGATTGGTAATTAGTCATTAGGTGCCATTGTCGGCTGCCTCGAGTTCAAATTTTAGCATCAGCATGACCAGACGACAAGTCTCAACAACGCAGTAGTATTGGATAACCTCATCAATGCGCGCGCATATTCATCAGACAATTATACAATGAGGCTAGAGCACTTCATCAAGATAGGAGACACTACATTAACAAAAAAAAAATTACTATGAATAAATAAAACCATTTTTAAAAAAGTAAAAAAAAAATTATGACATTTTGTAAATTATCATCCTCTCATTGTCAGAGTTTCTCCAGCGGTGCCATTAGACGGCAACAGCCCCTCGCGTCATTAGCTGCACTCAAGTTTCTCCCCCCTTTCATTTCCGGTATACAGATGCATGCTAATTCACATGACCGCGCCCCATCACCGACCTTGACCCCCCTGCAGCTACGCCCCTGATAAGCTTAATTGCAAAGCAACAATAGCCCACTGACGAAGAAAATCAGTAGGCGGCCTCTAAAAGATTCCTAGCGAGGGAACCGGGGGTATTACCCGAGGGCGGATCGTTGAGATAACCGCGGAGCAGGCCGGGTGATCAATGGCTACTTAGGTCGTGGATATGGATACATATCCGGGGATCTTAGCCACACGACGTTGACATTTCAAGTTTGATGTGGAGGATAACTTTACCAGGACTGAAAGGTCAAAAACTGTACAAAAAAAAAGGAATTTCAGGTTCGGGTTTTAGTGTCATTGACTTGCAGATGGTATGTTCATATTATACATGCATGGAGGAGTGTTATCAAGTTGCAAAAAATACACATCAAATTGTTGAGTTTTTAATCATATCATGGAGTTTATCGTGACGCTCGTATTGTTGTGTATATCGTGACTCTCCTATCATAATGGTAGTCACGAAGTATCCGGCATCAAGAGCCAAAACTTTGTCCTCCCCCATTAAACTGGCGCCCCCATTAAACTGGCACCCCCAGTTAACTGGAACCCCACTAAACTGGTTACAAAACTAAACTGACGCCCCAACTAAACTGGCACGCCACTTATATAGTGCCCATAATAAACTAACACCCCAACTAAACTGACGCCCCCCTACTAAACAGGTGACAATACTAAACTGGCGCCCCCCACTTAACTGGCGCCCCCAAAAAACTGGCACCCCCACTAAACTGCCAATCTCACTTAACTGGCAACTCCACTTAACTGACACCCTACCCTTTCACATTCTGACGGACATTGTTAAAGCACCATAATAAAAAACAAAAAAAAAATTTAAAAACTTCTAAATGCACTAAAACGTAAGAAAATAAAATACTTTTTAAGTTAATATATTAGTAAAATCATTGGATACTAATATGTGTTAAAGATATTTTTTGTTATAAAGGTATTTTTTTTACATGTGCCCATTTCCACTCAACATACATACTTATCTACACCCAAATATCATCCTACTTACCTCAAACCAACATCCACAACCCAACCTCTACCCTCTAACTGCCATACCTTGGCAACCTGTCGAACCCAACCTGCAGGCTCTATCCTGCTTCTACCTTCTGCACCTCATCTTCTACAGCCGAACCCCAATCTCTAACCCCCAATCTCCACGCACCAACAACCTCGACCTTATCTTTCACCCCCCCAACCTCCAGCCCCCAACCTCCTGAACCCAACCTCCAGCTCCCAACCTCCAGCTCCCAACCTCCAGCTCCCAACCTCCAGCCCCCAACCTCCAGCCCCCAACCTCCAGCCCCCCTCCAGCCCCCAACCTCCAGCCCCCAACCTCCATCCCCCAACCTCCAGCCCCCACTCTCCCACCCCAACGTCTAGCCCCCACCCTCCCATCCCAACCTCCAGCCCCCACCCTCCCAACCTCCAGCCCCCACCCTCCCACCCTACCCTCTCCACCTCAACATCCGCCCATATTTATGTCCACGTAACGCCGGAACAATCCCCATCAAAATAATACCAGGTCCGGGCAAACACTTCCCCCCCCCCCCTTTTACTTCACGCCATCAGAATATCAATTGATGCTTTCAACCCGCTTTTCTTTACACCCCCACCCCCACCCCCTTTGAAAAATCAAAGACTCCGATTGTTCTAAAACCCGAACCAACATTAGAAATGGATCAATTAGCGATGCATGAAGGCTCCACGCCACCCATTCACCACTTGAGCCCCACGTTCAGCGCCATTGTGCTGTCTTGGCATCAAGTGTAAAATAGTTGCAAGACGCCCTTTTCTCTGGTCGCGTTCTTAAACTCGTTCTCCGGCAAGGAAAACGTAACGGTGGTTTAAATACGCGATAAATAAGCCAAACTTTGATCCGTTTGTTTTAGCGTCTGACGTGAAATTTCAAACGACAGGTTTAGATCCACTGATCCACTTAGTCTTTTAATGTCAAAACCTAGTACAGAGACGTAAATAAATTTGTTTATATATGCATATGTGTATGGATATCAGAGGCGTAGCGAGGGGGGGGGGGGGGGCGGGGGTGCGGACCTCACCGGGTGACACCATTTAGGGGGATGATACCAAGGCAAAAAATAGCAAAATATATAGAGAAAACTTTGAGGGGTGGGTGGTGCAAATCGAAAGTTTGGGGGGGGGGGGTGCAAATCGAAAATTTTAAAGTTTGTCCCCGGGAAGGGTCGCTACACAGTTAATTGCCGCACCGGGTGACACCCGACCTCGCTTCGCCACTGGTGGATATATTTGTGTTTATTTATTTAAGTAGAACTATTATCTTTCGTGTCACATATCTTTGAAGAATACCTACAAGTTAAAGCTTAATCCTGGGAATGGCGTGGGAGGAGGGCTCATGATTGCTAAGAAATCCCGAATTCGCACACTCATATGAGATGGGGAAACAGCAACCCATCTAGGGGAGATAACTTCACGATTTAACAACAGCTGCGTAACGCATTGATCTTGGATGGACAAAGGCTATGAAGGCAAATCCGAAATTGAAGTCAATGGGCCACATGACGCATACATTGTTGACATGTAATACTTACTTCTCTGAAAGGAAATCCCCTCGAATTTTACAGTTAAGAACGAAGAAGAAGAAGAATGAAGAAAAATTATCTTGTTTTCGTGTAAACATATCAACAAATTACATTTTATTTGTCTGATTTGTTAGCCAAATTATTTATTTAAAACGCAATTTGTTGTCTAAAAAATAAAAATAATCATTTACTTCCAAAAATTAAATTTAATTTTCATAAACTCATAATGCATTAATTTTAATTAATAGGATATGACAACATGTTTAGTATGTAATGATGTCCTATTATCTAAAATTTATGAATTCTGAGTTAATGAAAGATTAAAGCGGTCGCCATTATTCCCTTTAACCCTTGCAGCGCTGAAGCAGCTCGTCACTAATGGCCAACCATAGCATCACCAGCTTATCTGTCTACATAAAAATACGAAATTTTCCGATGGGCATGCAAGACATTATGGATGAAATGTCCCTGATTGTAAAAATGGAAACATCGACATTCCAATCCCGTCCGTACTCAATCGTTACTACAGGGCCAATCATATTGACCATTCATACCCCACATTTTACATCCACCTCACCCCACATTTTTCCTCCCTCCTTACCCCACACTTTCCACCCTCCTTACCCCACACTTTCCACCATCCTTACCCCACACTTTCCACCCTCCTAACCCCACACTTTCCACCCCACACTTTCCACCCTCCTTACCCCACACTTTCCACCCTCCTTACCCCACACTTTCCACCCTCCTAACCCCACACTTTCCACCCCACACTTTCCACACTCCTTACCCCACACTTTCCACCCTCCTTACCTTACACTTTCCACCCTCCTTACCTTACACTTTCCACCCTCTTCACCCCACCCTCCACCCTCCTTACCCCACACTTTCCACCGCTGGCATCGTTTCATCACCAATCCACCTCCACGCCTCCCCGCCCAACATGTCCCCCCACCCCCTCCCTCAAGACTTCCGCTCACCCATCCATCAATCATTAATCTCATATTATTTACAAAAATACGCCCTGATCCCACACGGAGGGGCACATTTGACTACTGGACCGGACAGAGTTTAGAGCAGATTTTAATTTTGTACGAAGTTCAGATTTTTTTTTAAACACAATCTGATGCAAGTGGCGATTTGGTGCAGGGGGACCGTGCAAATAGACATAGGTCGGTGTGAGGTTCTTCATTTAAAATAGCTGATCTCTTGAATGTGTGGTGGAATCAGAAGTCTTAAATCAGACTGCTGGTTCTGGGTACGGGAAGTATGCAGGAGTTAAATATTGGGATTGGTAAGTTTGCAGGAATTTAAGATTTGGGTTTGGATAGTCTGCGTCTATTAAAAAATTTGATTTTGTACTGTAATTAAGTTCAGCTG